ACTATAGGTTTGGAAGACAGGTGGCTTGATTTGGGGAGAAGGAAGCAGACAAAGAGAAGGTGGCTCTAGCTACATATCCATCAGCTGGGCAAGAGCGAGGGAGAGGCAGACAGACTGTAGCTTCTCCCTAGATGTCCTGGAAGGAGATGCTTGCCTTCTGGAACAGGGGGCTGACAAGGGTTCCAGCTGCCAAGGTAGTCCATTGCAGGTGTCTGTTCCTGCTGCAGAGAGCTCCTGGCGTGTGAATGTAAAGCACTACCACAAAACCATCTGCCATATGAGCAATTGTCATGTGTTGTCCTTCGTATGAAGTACCATTTTCTACTCTTGCTAAATTAGATTGGGTAGTGTCTCATTGCCCTTTGTATCCATTGTCCTTGGCTGGGCTCATCTGGGAGGAAGAAAGTCACAGCCAAACTCATAAGGAATTATTTTAATTAAAAAGACTCCCAGCTCTTTGGATGAGAGATTTATTATCCCTCAAATTAACATTAGAATAAGTATTTTATGATGGGGAGGGCAGTGCTCTATTGAACTATTTGGCTTTGCTAATAGGATAGTGTTACTTAGGAATGCAGAATGTTTTGAAGAGGCAATTGTGCAGAATACAGACTCTTGAGCATTCAGGGATTGGTACCATGTAGGCAGGAGTGCTGTGGCAAATCCCCTTCATCCTTGTGCTGAGAAGCATGGAATAATTTTTCAAGTCTGAGGCTTAAAGTTCTGCCAGGCTCATCTGACGTATCTGCTGATTCAGGTTTTCTGATGCTCTTTTTCACTTCCCAGCATTGCACCTTGAAGATAGATGTGGTGAGGACGAGGAGGAGCAGTGCTCTAGAGAATTGTGTTCCTGGGGGGAATTGAGCTGGTACTGGAAGTACAGACCTAAAAATGGTGAAAATTCTTTGCTTTTGAAAACAAGAATCTCAGCAAAGTTATTTTTCCTCCTCCAGTTACTGAGCCTTATTTGAAGTGGTTAAGTGGGTCTGGCGGGCCTAAGTGTTCTGCAGAACCATCCTTTCTGGTTTTGTTGTTTTTTTGTTTTTTTTTTTTTTTTTTCTCTATAAAAATCAAGTATCTGAGCTAGTGTTAAAAACATAAATGTTCTTTCAGAAGCTTGTATGCTGTTACTGTGTGCATCTCAACCCAGTGACCTTCTAGCATATTAGTGCAGTCTTTAGGAAAATTATTTTCCTGCTACTGAACAGAGATAATTTGATTTGGAGGAGGTTTTTTTTTGCTTTAAAGATTTGGAGGAATGTTTTCTTATGTTATTCACATACTAGAAAAATAATCCATCTCTTTTTCTGCAATTCTGCCACCTGCTTTATACTCTGGGAAATGATGCATTAGGTTATTAATGTGATCGCTGCTGTTCTGTATAGTTTCAGTCATCAGCTAGTTAAGTGCTGCCTTGAATGCATCAGCTTGATAGCTCAGATAATCATCAGTACAAATGCAATCTTTGTTGGAGTTGCTCCTAAATGTATTGGCAAATGTTTCTATATTGGTCATTTTATCCATATTTTGGAAAGTTTTAAAAAAAGCTGTTGTGTGTCACCCCCACCATTGTAGCTGCACGCTGTGCTGTGGGGAAGCAGTTAGAATTACTGAGAATCTATTTTGTAGTCAGAGGATTTCCCTCTCTGTCTGTGTTTTCTGATTAAGAGTTGCTTTTAGATGAATTTCTTTAGTCAAATATTACAGAACATTCATGGTGGTTTTTTTTCAAATAGTGGTATATTTGAAACCATTGGGCAAGTATAAACTGTGGATTTGTTACTGAACTGAGGTTAGGGAGTGTGGGAAGGGGGAGCAGTAGTAATGTTAATGTAAAGGCTGTGTAGCAACTTGCATTAAAACAGGATCTATAAAATTTTTAGTGCTGCTTTTTATACAGAGTGGTGGGTTATTGTCTGTGAAGCCTGTTCATTAATGTGGTAAGAGTGTGAAATACCAGATTTTGCTAAGCTTCATGCTTTGCCTTCCATTATTTGAGGCAAACAGCTTGAGCTGTGCTATTCATATTCTGTTTTGAGCTTGTTGCTTTGTATTTGAACACTTTTTATCTTATTTGAATTAAAAATTATGCTTGAAAGTGTGATAGTGATTTGACATTTGGACAGCAGAATAGCATTGATTTTGAAAACGGCTTTTGTTTGAAGAATTCTTTGTCTAGTGTTTGAAAAAGAAAACAAACCCCGACTTTTGGATGAGTAAGACGTTTAACCTGTGCTCTTTTTTTTGGGGCATGTCATTTCTGCTATTTCCTTGCATGACCACTTAGTTTCCCTTGGTGAAGAGCTGTAAAAGGATAACATTTCTTTATGGTTGCTAAACTCTTCAAAAATTAATTTAAGGCAGATAGTTCGTAACCGTTTAGCTACTGGTATCTCTGTTATTTCAATCAGTTGGATATTGGAATTGATACACAGGCACTTGATACTGCTGATGGCATTTGGATGCTTCCTGCTGGCATTTCTTACAAAATCGCTATGTTTATAGTTGTCACTTCTGTTTGGGTTAGATTCATTTTTCTCTGCAGATACTGAAATAAAAATAATTTCCCATGAGTTAGCAGTCTGTAAGTCTTAGACCCACAAACAGCTGACGGGTGCTGAAGCTCAGTCTTTAGTTACCCCTTTGATTTTCGTAAGGCTAGTTGCACCCTGAAAATCAAGCACAGGAGTGTTTATCTTTGACAATAAGTGACAACTCATGCTTCTAAATATTTTGTTGCGAGTTTGCAGTGGGACTGTGATTTGACTTCCCTAGATATAAAACAATTGAAATACATGTACAGTAACAGTGTAACGTGTAATACTAAGGGCATGAGCCATTAGAAGTGCAAGGATTCTTAGCAGCTATTGGTAATGATTTTAATAAAGTCAGTCCTTTTAAAGAAAAAGGATTCCTGTAAGCAGAATATGCGTAAACAGGGGCTGAATATATAATTGTCAGATGTGCTTGCTTTTAATTTTTGCTAACATGACGAGGATGTTTTGACCTGTTCACTGGTGAATGATAGGTGTGCTGTATTTTGACTCAGGTAGTCATTATTTTCTTACAATTACTTGACTGCTGATTTAAAGAACCTCTGTTCTTTGTATCTTACTGGAAGAACTAAGTTTTAAGTTGTCAACTGGATGAACTTCTGTCCTATTAATAGAAATTCCATGCATCTTGTTCTTGAAGGGTAACACAATTAGGAAAGTTCCAGTTCTGCACCATTGTTACAATAGCATACATAGCTGTTGCATTAGTAAGTGTTTTTGTGTTAGCTGAATAAAGTTGATAAACTTAATTGTGCCATTCTTGGCAATGGTAGTATTGAATAATAAGGAATTGACCCATACACTGTAAATAAAAATAGGTGTATTTTTTAAGAATAATTTAGAAACAGTTGGTTTGGTGAAGTGGGGTTTTTTTGGGTGGTGTCGTGTTTAAAGCATGCTAGCTATAGTTATAAATTCTCTCAAGAGACCTTAAGTCAAGTTTGAAAACTATCTGGAAACTTAAATTTAATGCAACATCCTAAATTCCCTTTGGTTAGAATCATAACTAGCGAATTGTAAGGGTCCTTCTGGTCTTCAGTACTGTGCATCCATCTTTCTGTAAATTGACCTATAAATTAGGATCAGAAAGGTTCAAACTTGACACTTTTTCAGAGGGAAAGTCTGGAGGTAGGGTTGGGGGGGAGGGTGGGGTTAGAAATATTTCTCCAATGCTTGCTTTCTGCCAAAGTTTATCTTTCATTGGCAAGAGTGTATTACATCAGTTTTGTTAATTGTAGTATTAAAAAAAAGAAAATCAGATATTTTAAGTTTTTTTTCTGGGTGGATATCTTTGTTTTTGTTAATATTTTTCATTGTTCAGTAAAAGTTTTAAATAAATGTATTAAGTTTTAACATTTCTACATTCTTTATGATGCGGAAACTCAATTCAGCTCCAGCAAAATCACAGGAGACTATCTTATTAACCATACTGCAGAGATTATGCATCATTTACATGCTGAAAAATGAAAATACTATCAATGGTCAGATCAACTATATGCTTTATTAAACACTTCCCTTGTTAATCCCTGCTCTAAAACTTCCTTCCAGATTTTTTAAGTTCTTTCCAAATTTACTTTTAGTTTAAGGAAGAGGTTTTGTCATCCGAGATCGGAATAGTATATAGTATCTATCAGAATGATAATCCTGCCAGCTGCTGATCTTTGGATTATCAGCCTTGCTGAAATTCGATGTATTGTGCATGAAGCCACGTGGATTCTCTTTTTTAGCTTTTCTCCCCCACGGCGATTCTTCCGATAGAACCATTTCTTTAAACAATACGCTGATATTCGTGGTTCTTCGTTTGAAGTGCTGTGGGAGATAACCATTTGATACGTCCTTGAGAAATATTATTAGTGGTGGAAGAGGGAACTTGAAAAGCTTGGTATGCTTCTGTAAATGGTTGTGAGCAGATAACTTCTCTGTCCCAGTTTCAAAAAAGATGATGATGTAAAAGCTTCCCAGAGTGATGCTGTCTGTCATATTACACTAATACTGTTGATCTTGGTCTGGCATTTAAAGAAAGCTTGTAAATAAGTATTTTGTAAAATTATTCCAGATTTGCAAAGGGTTAATTATTTTTCATCCCTAAATGTCATTTTCTGCTCGTATTCAGTGATCTATTTGTGGTTTTTCTAGACTTAGATTGGGCAATCCTAAGAACTCAAATGTTGATTAACCGTGAAGAGGAAATCTTTTCAGGTCTCAATTGCTGTCTCTTGGAGGAGTAGTAGTAGTTGTTTCAGTGCCCAGTTGCAGCCTCAGGTATTGATGGAGGGGGATAGAAACACTGAACTGTTTTATCAGTTTTGTCACAGTTCTTTTTTATATGTCCTATTTTTGCACTTCTAGTTTTATATTGAGATGAAACTAAAGTGGCATATTAATTAGACTTGGCAAGACAAGCAACTTGTATAGCTGCTTGGATGTAAATGTTTTTTTGTATAGAGAAACCCCACAGGAATGAGGCAGGTGAAAGATCCTCAATATCTCGAGTGGAAAGATGAATTAGGAAAGCAATGGAAACCGAAGGTGAATTACAGTGATGCAGTCTTGCTAGGTTACTTCTTGGAGTTAGGAGATTTTGACTCTGAAAGGATGGTTTACTGCAGTGATGTGGCATGTATGTGGAGTATGTTGTGCACTTATGTTTACCAGCAAGTCCACAAAGGTTTTCACAGTTGGCAGCTGTTGCATTTTTAGCAGGACTGTAGCCAGTTAAATCTGTATCTGGTCATTTTAACTTTGCTCCAAAATGGTTAAGATGTGGGGAAAAACATCTTACCTAACTGTTTGGTGTGGTGGAAAGAAGCCACTGGTGCTTAATTTTTCTTTCACAAATCCATGAGTTTTGTGAAATGAGGAAGCCCTGAACCACATTATCCGTTACTTTCTATTTCTATGCTGTTGTATACAGGTGTCAAAATACGTCTTAGTATGACAAGGGTGGAAGAGAAGTGCATTAAATTTAGTGCTTTTGAACACTTACATGTGAAGTCCAGTGGTGATCAGTTTTTATCTTTTTCTCAAGTATGTTTGAAAATGTCAAGTAAAGCATTTTCATTACTTTATCTCTTTGTTTTTAAAGAGCTGTTTTCAAGGTCTGCAATTCTGCAACACAATGCATCTTTTTCTTCTTGCTGTGAAGAAGTTACAACAAAGGTGGTGGGCAAGTTTAAAGTTCGCAGTTTTTATTGGAGCTTCACACGCTACTGACTTCCTACATGCTCTTGCTATACTTTTATGATCATTTTGGCACTTGAAAACCAGCGACTCAAGCGTGTAAATTTACTATCATCTTCCTAGTTAATCATCTTATTATCCAGTAGTACATAATGTTTGTTTTATTGATTGTATTCATAGAGGGTCACAAGTGTGAAAATACCTTCTTTTTAAGGGAACATCTGCAAGGCAAAATGAGGAATGAATTACCTTTTAGAACAGATTGTGTATTATATTTCGTGATGCTAGAATGAAGCCATGTTGTTCACAATGGGAAAACCCCAAACAGTCCCCATTGTAATTTTGAAATTAGAGTTGAAAAGGAGTGTTGGAAATTAAGATGATGCTGTATGTCACCTATGCAGGCAGAAGGAAGTACTGGTGTAGAGATGTGGAGTGTTACTGTTTCATCAGTTGGATGACAAACTTTAAAGAGGGTTAGAAACTGATATTTAAAGTCACTGTTGGTGCAGCTATAGGGTGCAAATAATTCAGCCTGCTTTTTGAGGTTTTTATTTTGAAAGCATCTAGGTGCACCACTGCTTGTTGTTCAGGTACCCAAACCATCAGCTTCCTTCCTGACGGCTTCTGTTGATTCCACGGTAGCCAAACGTGCTTTTTACCACTGGCTGCTGCTGTCTCGCACTCTCTTCCTTGGCCCTACCTTGCTCCCTCTCCATTGTGCAGGCTCCCGTGATGTAGACCCCCATTGACCCCTACCCCTACCCTTACTCAGTAACAGGCAGAGAGGGTGGTAACCTGGGTATAGAACTGCTGTACAGCTCAGCGAGGGTACAACAAGCGGCGGGCAGGGCGGGAAGGCACAGCTGTTCATAAATGGCAAGGCGGTACTGCAGCGGCTGGTGTTTAGATCAGTGTATGCCAACGTGGATCGACAGTGTAGGCGGCGTGGTCTCGTGAACTGATAACGGAAGAGGGAAAATAAATGACTATAGTGTTAATTTAGCATGTGAATTACTGGTATGATTGGAGGATTTTTTGCTTCTTTGTTGACTTATGTAAGACTTACGAAATTTCATTTGGCCCTGGTGTGGTGAGGAGTTTGAAGACTTTACAAGAGATTTGAAGCCTAATCTGACCATGGCTACTGCTTATTCTCGTAGAGTTTTATGTGACTCTCTGTGTGTTATTTTTCATTTCCTTCATCAGCTGTGTTTCTGCTGTGTAGCACTTCGAGCACTGAAGCACAAGAGTGTTTATTTTTATGAAAGTGTTGGTGCAGATTGCTAAGTAAATGGTATGTCTTGGGAAGCGGGCAAGCTGCGTGTGCCAGACAGAAGACAACATACAATGTGAGCTGTCTCTGTGATTCAGCATGGGCAGCAGATCAGGAGGGCTTCTGCATTATGTGTCATTGAAGGCAGAACCCTCTTACAGAGTCCTCATGTAAATCACTTTTCACCATGGCTAGCCTGTCTTTGTAGGCAGCTTTTGGCTGCATACTCTTTCAGCAAGTCATAGCTGTCCCTGGGGACTTCCTCACATTGTTTCTCTGACATCGATAAGCAAAAGCTCTGCAACACAGTCTTACACAGCCAATCTTTCTTTTCTGTTCTTTTGTAGTAGTTGGTTTGGTTAGTACATGATAGCAGAGGAAGCAAATGTCTTGCCTATTCTGATGATTTAATAACTTGAGATAATTTGTTTTAAAATGTTACCATGTTTTGAATGTTAAATTTAGCAAGGCTAAGTGTTAGTCTTTTGTGTAAAATTCAGTGGCTGAAAGCTAGGACTGCATTTCCAGAGATGGTGATTGAAAAGCCTTGTGTACAGGTGAAAATAATAAAGTGCTAATTATCACTAGCCCAGCATGTGGCTAGTGTTGTAAATGAAAGCAGTAAAATTTTGTTGTAATGGCATCTTAAATTTCATACTTTTCTATAGAGCAAGAATCAGCCTCTGCCCCCCCCCCCCCCCCCCCCCCCCGCACTACTGAGTGGCCAACGTTTTGAAAGGCAAAATGCTTATTGTGCTTTACCTTTTGTCCTGTTCCTATCTTTGTTAAACCTCTACCTGTAATGTCATTACCCTTCTAAGGGTGCCCCACAGCACGTAAATCAATCCAAGCTGAGACACCCGTAACCCCACCTGCCCTCCTTTCCTTGCCCCACCACTGGCAGTTGCACACCGAGCTGCCTCGGAGAGGCTGAAATCGAACGCTGGGCGGTGGGAATGGGTAGGGACACTGGTTCATCATCAGCCAGCTCCGTTCCTGAAGTCAGCGTGCCACTCTTGTGTGACCGGCCTTCCCAGGGGAGGGATGGCTTCTGCATTTCTGGTTGGGATTCGAGGTTGCTGAAAAGGCAAACACGGGCTGGCAGTGCTGGTGAAAGAAGCTGCTGCTGGTGTTTCCCTACTCTCACACTGTCCTGTCCCTCTGTTAGGGAAAGCACTGCTGCGTGTGCACACTAAAATAAATTAGGGGATTGCTCTAGGTTAAAACTAACAGCTATTTTTATCTCAAGTCCTTGGTCTGGTTTACCATGTGGCTGCAGAAGTGTTTACCTCCAGTACCAGGAAGGGTGTGAGAACGAGTGGCCAAACGTAAGAGCCAGACAAGGTTTGCTTTTGGCTGTGGCTGCACTAGTTTAAAGTGCCTTCAACTGTTTATTGAGCTATGGCCTCACTTGTGGTAGTGTGGGGTGTTTTATGTTGTGAAACAGCTGTAATGCTGATCTGCAATGCTAATCTGAAATGCTCAAACCAGTGTGTTACTGAGGCAAATAAATGGCATAACAATGAAAGTGGACTGGGTGCTTGTTGGCTTGTTAAGAATATTAATTCTGACAGAAGAACAGATTCCTTCCTGAAGAACATAGTTCTGTGGAGTTTGGTGGAAACGGCAATGACTTTGGAGGACACAAATATGGACATTTGAAAATACCTGAAAAAACTATTTAGAATTTGATGTCTCTGGTCTTAATTCCTCAGTGTTTCTTATTCATGGAACGGTTTTGTTGGTTGTGTAAACTTTCTTGCCCACAGTGAGAAAAGCACAAAGTAGATGCCAAAAGGTGTCTTTTAGTGGCACACTGATAAAGAGCAGGGAAATGCAGAGCACAGGAGCTAAACAGAAGAGGAGAAATTACAATAGTGCATTGAATCAGAAAGAGTTGTGTATTTGGAGTTAAAATGGATGCTTTCAGATACCTTTTTGCTTACATAACTCTAATAGATTTGGTTCTACCTTTGCTGAGTTAAGAAAGATTTAATTATATCCTGTATGTAGTCACAAACTGACAGACAATCATAGCTTGTATATGTAAAATCTTCTCAGGAAACCCACTGGTTAAATTGAGTCTGTTCAAAAGGCAGCACCACATTTGAGATCGGTGTTTTGATATGCATCAGTTATGCCTTATAGACTGTAATCTTAAACTGTCTGATGTCTTCATTTTATCATTCTCTCTTCTCCAAGTAAGGAATGGGAAAGCATTCTGTGGTCTTAAAGATTGATTTTTAACATGTTTTGGTAGTGAGAATGAGGTTAGCAGTCACTAACAGCAGCCAAACTCAGGGGGAAAAAGTTCTGATTAATTGACTTCAACAACTATAAAGAATAATTAATCTTTTTTGTGGGTATTAATAGAGTACTTAGCACCCACTCCTGCCTGTGCAGTATCCTCTCATTTTATCAAATTTCACATTTTCTTATTATCCAATGCATTTTGGTATGTTTGTGTTGGTTCGAGTTCTGTATTTTATTGGTGTAAAGGACTTGGGTATGAGAAATCATTTTAAATCATCTGCATGATTGCATCAGACACCAATGTGCCGTAGCCCGGGGGTCATATGTGATCTGTCAGGATAATTCATCCAGACTGCATTTGAAGGCGCCTGCAGAAGAGATGAATGGTTCTCCTGACAACAGCAGTCTGCTTTCCTCTACCAGCTTCTTCAGGGGTGCCCGTGTTTCTAACACGTGTTTTGGTGAAGAGCCGAGCTTATTCATGTTTGCTGTGAATGTGGTCCTCAGGACACATGAAATTCAATGCATATCTGGAGACCTTCCAGCAAATGTCAGGTGTAATGTGTATGTGCAAGTGTTCTGGTGCTTCTGCGAAGGGCTTGGTCTATTCTGCAAGTGCAGTAGGTCTGCTGTGGGACAGAGAGGGTGGAAAGAAAGCAAGAGACTCGTTCAGCTGTGTACTGACAACAGCCTATTCAGGAGTGATTGATTTAGGAATTGACATCTGTCTCTGCTATGTGTTCTCAAATAGTCCTCTCATGCACACAGATCAACAGAAGCAGAAGATTCTGTGGCACTTCATTAATGACTTCCAAATTAATGAAGTAGCTAATGCTCCTATTTATGTGGCTGTAGAGCAAAGAATTGTACTTTCTCTTTTTCTTGGAGAAGTTGCTGAGTACTGCAGATTGCTCCCCTGATGCAGGATGTATATATGTGTCTCTGAAGTTGATCGGTGGTATTTATACAACTTTGGCAGAAATGATGAAGCACCACATACATAGAGAGGCTCAAGAACTACCCTTTTATAGTACCAATAAAATAAAACGAGGTTTCATTGTTCTGCAAGTTTCACTGGAATTGTGATTTTTAGAAATTTCCAAATAGCTCCTGAATGATACTGCTGCCCCTGGCAGACTGTGTATTGCATGCTGGACATGCAATGGTAATCTTCAAATTCTTCAGGCATGAAGTGTCTGGCACTTCTGCTATCATTAACCTAAGCGAAACACACAAGAAAATGAGATCTAAAATGTCAGGTCAGAATGAGCTACTTTTAAAAATTGGCTTCATAGTAAGATGATGCTGTGGATGCAGTTCAGCACAACTTTTTTCCTTTGCATTCCTTTCTAGTATCATTTGCAGCAGGTTCTTTAATATGGATAGATTAGAGGAGTGTTTTTCCTCGCATGTTTTCAAGAAAGCCTACAACAAAAGGGAGACTTGAGAGTGGCATTTCCATTAAATTGTGTGAGACAGATTAGAAAGTTTTTCTATCTAGCCACTGGAAACAAGACTGATTGTTCCAAGCTACAATGGAAATTTGATGTTTCTTAGTCATGAATCTTTAAAATAAAAGCCTCAATGTCTTTTTAAAGCTTACTATATTTTATTTGCGTTTTATCACCTAAACGTGTAAGAGTGTTTTTGGAGTTCTTTTGCTTTTCTCATCAGAAAGGTGTGCCCTGTTCATCATAGAAACGCAGTGCTGGTATTGTTTCATGCTTGAGACAGCTGAACAGCAAACTAGTGAAGAGGATGGTTTAAATGAATGTTAGGCATGATCTTTTCTACTTTTAACTGGAGAAATTTAGAGTTTTAAGTACAGTTTGGGTCAAAGAAGAGACCCAAGCTCTCCTTTGTCTTTGACGTCCAGCAGTATAGGCTTAAGGTGCAAAAGCGTGGGGAAGAATCGAAGATATCTAATTGTGTGTTGTTGGTGTTCCTGGTTGTAAGAAATAGTATTTGTGTGTTTACTGCATTGCAACAACAGGCCCATTGAAATGAGAAATAGTTAACTACCAAGTATTCTAGAGTGTACAAGCATTTTTATTTTCCTTAAAATGCACTCAGCGCTATGTATCTGATGCGGAATTCACGGACTCTTTGCACGACCAATATGATCAGAAGAAAGCCAACTTTATTAGCAAGCAGTAGCCCTTAATATACAGATTGCATTTTCTAAACACGCGATAGCTCAGTCTATGATTGGTGCCATGCATTGTCCACGCGCTCATCGGCTATACATGATTTGCTAAGCGTTACTGTCCACGCGGCTCAACTCCCCCCAACAACTCCTCCCCTATATTCTGCTCCCATGGCCTTGCTTCTCAAGCTTATCTATCTCCTGCCCCACAAGCTTACCTCCCTACATAACTCTCTCTGCGCTTTCCCACATTTTATCGCATTCTCAAAATACCCTTCAGCTTATTGCTAACATAAAATGATTCTACATGCGTTCAGATGGTCACATAGTCCACATTCAGTGTGTCTGGGTTGCTCACAATATGTCCCTTGTCTTCCAGATATCCCACATGTATCTGCCCATACAGGTGAAAGCTACTATGATTTCATGTTCAAAAGACCGCTGTATTGCTGTATCTGCATAATGTTTTCAATCTGTAAATGAGTAAACAGTTGCTTACCCCTGTCACAGGATAGGAAAAGCACAGAACTGGTTAACTGACTCATTGATTTTATTCAGGATATAGCCTAAACCTGACTGCTACTTATGTTGAAAACTAATTTTGTATGTTTGCAGTATAAAGAGTTTTGAAATACTAGGAACAATATCACCACGAATAAAGACCTAGTATATATTTGTTGGTTTTGTTGTTGTCAATATAATAAATTCCATGCATTTTGTAATGTGCGCAAGTTCTTGCTTGTGAAAAGCCAGTTTACTAGCAAAGGAATCAGTGTTTTTCTTGACTGTTAAGCATATTGTGACTAATAAGGAATCTGACATTTAAATATTTACTAACTAATAAGCCAAGGTCATACAGGTTTTGAATGATAAATCTTTCACTTACTCCTAGGTTTATAGTGCCTTTGGAAAGAAACCAGGATTAAAATGATACTCAAAACATAGGGTTCATGTTACGTCTTTGTAACATTGGACAGTTGTGTCTCATATATTAGAACAACAGTAGTTCAGGAAGGTAATTTATCAGCTGTCACCCAAATGGAAATAACTTTTGTCATGGGATGGAACAAAGTGTTTTAAAGACAATTGCTAAAATTGGCTGAAGAAAAACATGGCTAAACAACAGCTTTACAAATAGAAATTTTGATTTTACTGAAGTGGATATTCCAGTTACCTTTTCCAAAGAAGATGCATCATTCTGATTCAAGACTGCTAGCAAGACAAAAAGCTAAGGTCTGCATTTGTTTCTCATTCTGTGTATACCAGCAGCACTTTAGCTTTTAAAAGATGCAGGTATCTTTCAATGTGCTCAGATTATAAAGAGAGTAGGTTTTCTTACTAGAAATTAGGTGCTTTTGCAAACAGATTAATCAGACCTAGTTAAGTACCACAGTTTATTTTTCCTATGTCACTTCAGTGCATTGGACTTACTTTTCCATTCAGTCTTACATGAAATACATCTAAGAATTTTGAAATTTAGTTAAAATTCTTAAGTATGTGTACAATTTTTGTCCCTAAAGTTTAACTTACCTTTTCACGTTTAGTGTGTCACACATGTTAGTGTGTAATACGAAGGACTTTCAGACTGACACTTTTAGCTGTCAAAACAAACGTCTGTCGATACAAACGATGTTGATTGACCATTGTGAGTTTCTAGAGTGTGAAATCTTGACGTAATGTTAAGTCTGTAGTAATCACTTGATAGGAACTATATACACAGGCATGAATTGAGAAGGGTAACATGGACCTTCAGGTAATAAATGTATTTGGAATGGTGTCAAAGACATTTTTAGCAGCGTACCTAATCTGACTTTTGTCTTGGTGATTTTTGCTTATGTTACTTTGTTACAATCCTTTCAGGATTACAAAAGCAATCTTTTAGGATAATTTAGCAATTGCTTTTAGGATAATGTGTACAGATCTCTTTCAAAAGATTGCTGGACTTTCTAGTGTCAAATCTTGAGAATGATAATGCTGTTCCTGGCCTCCTTGTTTCTTGGCACTACATTCAGTAAATAGGCTTTTTAGCCTCCAGTGCTAACAAAAATAAATTGGAGATGTTTGAGGCTTATTTTGTGGGGCTTATGTTATTGCAGGTGTTAATTTTGCTGGATGTGTCCTTGTGCTCAGGACTACTTTGTTTCATCTTGATACAGTAATTTCTAAAGAGCCAGCAATGGTGGATGTTACTTAAAGAACATTCTTCTTTCCAAAACAACACACAAATTCTTACCACTTCTTGTACTGCATACCGGGGGAAATTCATATCTAGCTGTTGAGTGAATGGATTTGTCAGTTTGCTTTTTATAATTTGATTTTGAGAATACACAATTTGTGCTATTTTTTCCACTTGTTAAATGAGTCTTCTTTAGTATTGTTACTGCTGTTTAATACTCAAATGTTAGGTAGAGGACTCCAGGTTGGAGTTATAATTTAGTAGGTTGTACAAGTTGTGAAAAACTGAGCATGTTCTCTAAAGAGCTGTAAGACTTAATTACAGCATTGAAATTGTGGTACAGTTGAAAACAATGCCATAGCAGTTTGATGATGGTCAGACCTGGCAGTTATTTTCAGTAGAATATTTGCTGTCCGTTGTCTTTGCACTTTTGTTCTTTTCATTGTGTTGCAAATACAGTAACAACAGTAAAACTGTTGTGCTCTGTTTTACTGGTGGGTTTCCTCCTCCTTTTCAGAACCTGTTTTCTTCCGCACATAGAAGTTGAGGGAACATGAAATAGCAGGGATGCGTTCTGTACTGTCTGTTCAATTTTTAATGTCATTATGGATGAATTTTCATCTCACTGAGGAAGTTGTAGCAGCTCTCTGGTCACCTATGACGAGAAGCTAAACATTAGGCAACATTAGTTAAATGGTATTTTCTCACAATTGCTGTTTCATCTGCATGTGACTTACCTTGGAGTTTTCTTGATTAGTTTTCATGATTAGTACAGTTAAAAAAACATCAAATCATATACCACTGCTGGAACCCAGGATGACTAAATCACCAGTGAAGCTTTCAAGGTAAATGTGCATAGCTGATTTATTTTTGTTCCTTTGCAGGTGATGGATGTGGACACACCGTCCTGGGCCCTGAAAGTGGAACTCTTGCTTCGATAAACTACCCACAGACCTCTCCTAATAGCACAGTTTGTGAATGGGAAATTCGTGTAAAGCCTGGGCAGCGAGTTCAGCTCAAATTTGGTGATTTTGATATTGATGACTCAGATTCTTGTCATTCCAGTTACTTAAGAGTTCACAATGGGATTGGCCCCACCAGGACAGAGATAGGTAGGAGCTTTTATTATTGGTATTTGAAAGCTATTGTCTTGTATAGAATTTGGATATACTGTTGGTACTTTTATAACTTTCTATATTTCTCCTTGTTTACCTGCTCTGAGCACAGAGTAATGATGAGGTGTATGGTGTTAGTTGAGTTCTTTTTTATAGCCCTAGAAAACTGCTGTAATTCTGTTGGATATTGGGCAGGGTAAGACATTGCCTGAATACATCATACACTGCTTTGTACAGTGCGGATTTGTAGTCTTATGAGAAGTGATGAAAAGAAGAATGTGTTGATTATTTACAGGAATCTCAAATAAGGTAAAGAAAGGAATTTTAGTAATCCTGTAATCAGAGTTGTGCTGTTTTTTTCCTGAACCTCTTATCAAGGAGACCCTGCAAAGCTGAGGAGTGCTGTGTGTACCTCACCATGGGAGAAAAACAGCCATCAGGCACCAGTTTTAGTAAACTTACTACTGATAGTACTGCTAGAAAGCACAGCTAAGGAACGATTCTCCTGTTTGCTATATAGGTCTTCAGTACAGGGAGGGAGTCCAGGTGCAACTATAACTATATAAAAATAAAAGTGGTAAAGAAAACAGTAGTCTGATTGTCTGTTTCTCTGGTGATGTGCTCATTTCAAGTACCATTGTTGCTCAGCAGATGAACTGTCTGTTTGGAATGCCTGAGTATTCTTAATGCAATTATTCTTAAGTAATTGTGTTTTGTTTGCTGTTATTATAAGCATATGTAAATGTCTGTCATCTTGACATAATTCCTATATCCTAAAAATGTACTGAAAAAATGATGAGTAATAATGATAGCAGAACATCCTACATCTTGTTTGTGCGTACAACAACTAGATGCTAAAAGCAACATGGACCCTGAAATGATCTTTGATTCTTCAGGAAAGTCCACTGTAATGTTGGGTTATTTTCTCAGACATTTCCCAGTAGCTTGCAAAGTTCTTGTAAGCATTGGAGAGGGAATTGCAAAACTACGAGGATCTTAATTTAAAAAAAGAAAAAAGAAAAAAGTATATATATCTTACCTGAAATGCTTTTCTTTTTATATGAAATTGCTGTGATTTGAGCTGTTCATTTTGGTGGTACTAGAGGATGTCAGGCTTCAAAAGTTGTGTAGTTCAAATATCCTCCATCTTATGATAATGTCCATAGTTTAATTTTTGTCCTCTTTAAGAGGACAAATTGAATTTCCTGACTATAAGGCAGGGTTTTTTTCCACTAGCAGTGTGATATTATCATCTACATCAAGGTATATATAGGGTTTTAGGTCCCGTGTGGTTACTTTGCTTAAAACTCAAAATTAATTGTCATTCTTCCTTTACTAAAATTAGTTGTTATTGTGCAGATTAATTTTATTTTCTTTCCTAAAGCTTTAATCTGGAGAGAAGGAGAGATTTACTTCACCAGGATTGTTTTTGTGCAACTCAAATGCCGATCCCACTAAAATGAGTCTTTTTAGTGGAATGTTAGCTTTGTTAACCCTCTTTTCCAACTGTTACCTAGGTAAGTGTGTATGAAAATAAGTATGCGCTTGGAGCTGTTGAGCCAGACTTGGTCTAAAATAGGAAATGCTGAAGTCCTTAAATGGCAAGGAACGTCCAGTTCTGATAAGTCCATTATTCACTTTTACAAGTGACTTAATGGGTTCGAGTAAATTTTCTACTTCATTTGTTTCTCTTGACTTTCAGCTGTTCCCAGCTGGTGTAGTAGCACAGTATGTTAAGTAAATGTGTGTGTTCTGCTCTTAATAAATTCCCTCTACAACTACCTGAAAGGAGGTTGTAGTGAGGTGGGAGTTAGTCTCTTCTTCCTGGTAACTAGCGATAGGACAAGAGGAAACAGTCTCAGGTTGCACCAGGGGAGGTTCAGGATGGATATTAGGAAGAACTTCTTCACTGTAAGAGTCGTTAGGCATTGGAACGGGCTCCCCAGGGAGGTGGTGGAGTCACCATCCCTGGAGGTGTTCAAAAAATGTTTAGATGTGGCGCTTTAAGACGTGGTTTAGTGGGTTTAGCGGGCATGGTGGCATTGGGTATATGGTTGGACTTGATGATCTTTGAGGTCTCTTCCAAACATTATGATTCTATGATTCTAATTAAATTGCAGAACAAACAGTGATATTGACAGTGGCACATAGAGATGATGCAGGTTCTTGAATGTTCATGTTTCAAGCAATAAACATAGGAGAGATTGAAGAGTCACATCAGTTTGTTTGGAAGAAATCTGGATTTATCCTAAGTTTTTCCATTCAAGACATGGTCTAACATTAAAATACTTGTATTACATAAAATCTGAAATTCACTGATACCTGCTTTAACCCAAAATGACTTAAAAATTGGCTGAGTAGATTAAAAAATGAATTGTTAGTGGGTTAGTTCATTGATAAACAGAGAAAATTTCCAATGAAGCTTTTTAAAAGCTAGTTCTCATTCCAAGACTTTTGAATATTTGTCAATGAATCAAAAGAAGATTAAAATCCTTGGTGTTAAGTTTGTGTCTAGTTTAAATAAGATCTAGAGGTGTTTTTTATTATATTTCCTCACAGTCCAGTCACTGTATGTGTAGAGTCAGATGTACTTATTTAATACATACAATGTAAGCCCAGATCTATAGGAACAGAGAACGTAAGCTACCGTGGGAATTCCCTCTCATGCTGTAATGTTGCTGTACAAAAGCACTTGGGGTCCTTCAATACATAAGTACAGACAAAATAGTAGTATTACATCTTCTGCACATACTATTGACAGGGGCATCACGGCAGTCAAGTTTTGTCCATTTCTATTGCCTGCTTCTTAAAAAGATTGCTAAAACTCTGGCGAGAGGCCAGGGAAGAGTTAGAAAAATAATTTGTAGTCTCAAAAGTATGTCTTGCCATGAATCGTAAGGTGCATCAGTCTACAATTTGTCAAAGGCTGTGTCTTCATGGTGCAAGCAGCACAGGATAGTTTATCCAAGCTAGATTTAAATGTCTTGCTGTGTATATTTGCCTGAAGAAGAGGATAAACGATGTCTTGAGAACAGTCTGATCTACCCTGAGAGGAGTCTCTTGCTGGTCAATTGTGTAACAAGATCTTAAACTTAACAAAACTTTTTTTTTAAAAAAAAAAGGAAAACAAACTTGGTAGTTGGAAAAATTATGCAGTTCGTCATAATGAATTCAATTAATCGTTGAAACATGAGTTAGAGCAAAACATAGGGTCAATGTGTGGTGCCTTGGTAAAAGGGAACTTCTTTGTAACTCTTGCTGGTAACCAGTTTAAGTAGTGAACTGAGGTAAGGTTGTAGTGTATATTATTATAAATTTCATTGAAGTATTGTAAAGTCTATTTTCTGTTTTTTCATTAGAAAATACCCTTGCTTTGTTCAAAAAATATCTGAATAAGCAACATGTAAAAAGCTCTGAATAATGATAGGAATTTGTGTTTCTAATGTTTTAAAAAATTTGTTAGTATTTGAGAGTGCCGTTCACTTTTTAAAGGAATCTGACATGCACATTGTATTTGTTGTCTTTATGTTTGTTTTGTGTTATATTTGTTGAGAACTGTTCCTGCAGGGCAGTGCTATTCCACTCCCTCTACTTAGTGTTGTAATTTGCCTTTAGTTGAGAAGGGTGTCTGGCTTCTTTTTTTGCCATTTTACGATATGATAACATACTTGTTGTCATGAAAGCGAATGAATGAGTGGTAAACTGAAACATATGCAGTGTCATTTGCTGCTGGTGATTATCCACTTTGATTATCCACTGCAGAATCTTAAATAGGGTTATAGATGGTTTACAATATTGAATGATCAAGGGAGCCTATATAACGGAAGATACTGTATTTTTCTTAGCAGGTTAGTAAACTGATCAGTATTTTGTTAGAGTTTGTAGTTAGTAGGACTGGAGAATTTGATAGTGACTTGGGTCTATTTAACAGCTGTTCATCCAGGTCATGTCATTTGGTAGTAATTCTAGGACTTCATAGGGTGAGTACTGTCAGTATTTGCAGACTCCAGCATCTCCATTTAAAATGTATTATTTTTGGTCATTTTGGATGGCAAGAAAAGTATCCAGATGCAGAACCTCTGGTTTTATGGCTGCAGCAAAACAGAAGGTGAACCAACTGGGTGTTTATATTAGTGGTACTCACATATGCTTGTATGTTAATACTGAAGTGCAGCGAATCATGCCTGCTGTTGTCCAAAATTAAGAAAAGTAGTTGACAGAAACCATGAAATGGTCAACAAGGAAGAAGTGCCCCAACAGCTGAGGGAAGAGAAGGGCTTCTTTCTCATTTGCATCTGTAGATGATTCTCATTGCTCTAACTTGATCCTTTTCCTTGACAGATTTCTCATGGTCTTTGAAGAACTGACTGCAGGGGTTATGTATGCATGGCTAGAGTTGAATGGGATAAGGTCACGTTTTTTTGGCAAGTGTTAATGGTATGAGAGGCTCTCACCTGTGACAGTGGCAAAATAAATGTGGTACCCATACTCTGCCATTTGCTTTAAATGGATACTGACTGCATTATTCAGTGTCATGCACGTGTATTTGTTTTTGAATAGACACCAGAAGTAATGTGAGCTTACACTGCAAATGAATAAAGATGCTTATTGCATGTGTTGCTTTTGGTCCATGTCTGGTTTTCCCCTTCTCTCCATAGGAAAATATTGTGGGTTCGGCTTTCAAATGGATGGTTTAATTACTTCAAAAAGTAATGAAGTCACAGTACAGTTCATGAGTGGAACACACACTTCTGGACGTGGATTTCTTGCGACTTATTCAACCACTGACAAATCAGGTATTTATGACTATTTGGTAATTTTTCTGTGCTGGTAAAATTAGAGCTGCCTAGTGAAAACACAGAGTTAATTTATTTATTCCTGCGTTCTCACAAAGTAACTTCTAAAAATGATGACTTCTAATACAGTCTTCCTGATACTTCTTAGGAAATTATACTGTTCAGTTACTATTTAAGTTACTGTAGTTTTAAAGAAATGACATCAAAGCTTACCCTGGATAGCAGGGCAAGAATCACAGTTATCTCTTACGAATGAAAGAGCTGCTTCGGATAAAGGATGAAATGCATTTTTTCAGGTAGTTATCAAGGTGGCAGATAACTAAACATTTTCTTATTGAACTGTATGTGTTTTGTACAGACTAACCTCATGGAAAATTTTATTTCAGTAAGTTTCCTATACTGCCTCAACTCTTTAATTATATAATCTGCTGACTACTTTTTAGGGGTTTTGCCATTTCTTGGTTTTTTCCGTGTTTTTGGCTATTCTAGCCTCTAAAAGAGGCTGCTGTATTTGTTTTGCATCTCCTTCAACTCATTGTAATGGTGTACGACATACACGGTGCATACGGAAATGAAGGATTGCCAGCAACTGCTTCACAAGGCAAAAGGCTTGAGAAAACCCTTTCTAGAAGTAATTCTAAAAAGTGGAGATAGAGTTTTAAATTTTAATTTGTATTTTGTGGGTTTTCTGATGCTTTTCTTTGTATTTTGGACTGTGTGTGCTGATACACAGCAGACTGGAAATAAAATTTGAGATATCAGTCATGAATGCCAGTAACATGGCACTCTAATGTTTGTTCTCTATGCTGCCTGGTTTCAGTACTGTAGGACTGTTAAACGCTGAAAACACAGGCCTGTTTAGTTAGCTTATTAATTTAACTTTGTGAAAAGAGTGTATGTTCGTATCTCTGAATTATGTCAGGTTCTCTGAAGTCTAGCTATAAATGAAAATTAACTGCACAAAAAATGAGTGTCTGTAGTGCTTCTCTTCTTGTCTATGTCACCTTCTCAGTGGATTTCCCAGTTACTCAGACAAATTATCAAGGTTCTACTGTAATACAAAATCTGTTGCAAGAAAATGTAGTAGGAACGTGGTATTTTTTTTTCATTCTGAGACTTTTGGTTAAGCCACAGAGGCTCAAATGTATCTTTTTGTGCACTTTAAAAAGCATACTCAAACTTGTTGTCTTTGTCATCCTCTTGACCTAACATTTTTTCTTTCCAGACCTAATTACCTGTTTAGACAATGCAAGTCACTTTTCCGAACCAGAATTCAAGTAAGACTAATTTTACCTGTTTCCCCCCAATCTCTTTAATGAAGGCATTCTAGTGTTTATACTTCACTTTGTTACTTATACCTGATGCAGCTTGAAAATTGGCTGTCCAGAGAACTTAAGAAATGAACTAATTAGGATTATGTCATGGTTTAACCCCAGCTGGCAACTAAGCCCCACACAGCCACTTGCTCACTCCCCCCGGTGGGATGAGGGAGAGAATCAGAAGAGTAAAAGTGAGTTAAAACTCGTGGGCTGACATAAAGACAATTTAATAGGTAAAGCAAAAGCCGCATGCACAAGCAAAGCAAAACAAGGAATTCATTCACCACTTCCCATGGGCAGGCAGGTGTTCAGCCATCTCCAGGAAGGCAGAGTGGCTTCATCATGTGTAACGGTGACTTGGGAAGACAAACGCCGTCACTCTGAAGATCCCCCCTTCCTCCTCCTTCCCCCAGCTTTATAAGCTGAGCATGACATCCTATGGTGTGGGATATCCCTTTGGTCAGTCGCGGTCAGCTGTCCCGGCTGTGTCCCCTCCCAACTCCTTGTGCACCCCCAGCCTCTTCGCAGGTGGGGTGAGAAGCTGAAAAGGCCTTGACTCTCTGTAAGCCCTGCTCATTAATCACTGAAACACCCCTGTCTTATCAACGCTGTTCTCAGCACAAACCCAAAACATAGTCCCATATCAGCTACTATGAAGAAAATTAAAGCTACCCCAGCCCAAACCAGCTGAATAATTTTGACATTTGCACTCCTCCTTCTCCTCTCTCTCCCCCTCTCTCTCCCATTTTTGTTATTTACATGCAGTATACAGTAGAACCTCGTTAATTTGCACTAACACATAGGAGCTAATATGTCATTCCCATAGGAAGAATATTGCTTTTATAAACACATATTACAGCAGGTATACACCTTAAATACTGAAATTCATATTAGAGTTATCTAAGGAGCACTAAACTATGAAATGGTGTTAAAAATTACCAGCCCATTTCACAATTTGGTGTGAATTAATGAGGTTCTGGGGAGACATAAAATGCTGTACCTTCGATGGGGGAAACATACGTCATTTCCCTGTTTTCTCCTTCTCCATTTCCATCTAAAGCAAGGACGGTGTTTGAAGCTGCAGACTATGGTCAAGTAAATAAACTTACTTTTTGGAGAACTTCAGCCCTGACCATCATGAAACATTTAAAAGTGCAACTTTTGCATTTCTCTCTCATTTTCCCAAGTTCCAAAATAAGGCTCTAATTGTAGGTTCTGGCCTTACTGAACGTCTGTTGAAGTCTCTGAATCCCACTTTTTTTGTGGTACCTGCAAAGTTGCTTCAACTGTTGTTGAACTGTGGTGAAAATGTTAATAGTTTACTCCAGTTCATTGTTAAATCTTGAAGATTTAATAGTTTTTGTATGTGCAGTATGAAATGGCAATAGAACATGAACACGGGCTTGCATCAGAGGTGCAGATGTCTTGCCTCTTGCTTTTCAGGAGCTAGTGGTATTAACTGAATTTGGCCAGTTTTTTATGATCAAAACATTGCCAGGAGCTATTATAAAATAATATTACTTTTCAGATATATTATTTAAGGATGCAAAACAAATAGATATGCAGGTCTCTAGTTTATAAAATAGAATTCATTAATATTGGTACTTATGTGGCTTTCAGTTTACAGAAACCATGCAGTATTTATATTATAAAATGCTGGCTTTATTAATTTATGTTGAGACTGGAACTGTAATTTCAGCTGAGACTTTTTTTTATTTTTCAAATGTCTGTTCTCCTGTTGTACTACTTTTCCTGAGTATTTTTTCACTGATTTGATACGTCTTCAATTAGGGTATATCCTTAAATAGTGAATGATAACAGGGTATTGTAAATCAAAAACATAGTGACTGGTTTTTAACGTTATAATGGGTTGTAGTTGCATGCATATCTTGACTTAATATTTTGTTCTCTTCCAGCAAGTATTGTCCAGCTGGATGTGTGATTCCTTTTGCTGATATTTCAGGCACTATTCCTCATGGATACAGAGATGTAAGTAAAAATACTGTGGGCTCAAGTGAATTTTGGTAAAATGCACACTGTATAATTACAAGTCAGTTATAGTTGTTCACTCTAGTTCTGCTGCCTGGGTTCTGCAATTTGTACCTCCTAAAGTGAAAAGCATGGTACTTTTTTTTTTTTTTTTTTTGGTGCCTGCCCAGCTGCTATGGATGGGGCTTCAGATGTTGCCATCTCTAAGTGAAGTAATGTAGTAGAGACTCAAACATTTTTGTAAGACCTGCTGAGAAGAGTGGATCAAATACAATACTGTTTTCTACTTCCTGTTTTGTTTTTCTTGGCTTTCTAAGGTTGGGAAATTCAGATTTATAAAGAATGAACCAGTTCTTTTAATGGTGTCATCTTGTTTTTGACACTGCAATGCATCCCTAAATAGAGGGTTATCTTAATCTTTTATTACAGCATGAGAGATGAAATACTATTTATGCTCAGAAGCTATAAAACCATTTGCAAAATGGAGTTAATACTGTAACATTAATAGTTCTATAAACTGGAAATGGAAATCTTTAATAACGTGCTATTTACTTAGAACATTACAAAAACCTATACAGTTTTTCTGAGGGAAGCTTTTGTAACTGAATTAGCATACCTGCTGTAGGACTGGAGGGTGTTTGCTTTGTTTATTTTGAAGTGATTATAATTTTGCTAGCAATTGAGTAAAAAATTATGTTAAATCTCTGTTTATCTTAAAATATTCTTTTAATAAACCATTAGATCTAGCACAGAGAAAAGACAATTTTAAAGTGTTAGCACAGATTTTAGTATTAAATATGAACCTCAAGTGTGCCTCTCTGACTTTCTTTTCTCAAATATCTGTAAATCCTAGGTTACCTGCTTCAGTAATTACCCACGTGTAAAAACATCACCACAGTGTAACTGTGTTGTATGTTCTGGTCCACAGTGAGTCCTTACTAAATGGCTGTGAGGTCATTTTTGTAACTGGTAACAAGATGAAGTTGATTCTCTGCCTCACACATTTGCAGCATCAGTAGGAGTTCTGCTTGATGGGAGTTTTTTGCCAAAACCTGGACAACCTGTTTTCTATAGAGGAAAAAGGAAACTTTGGGAAATAAATGCTCTGTGACTTTCTTCTTGTGTGCTTTATTGATACGAATAAAAGGCAGAGAATTTCCCAGAAGTCAAGCTGTGTGGAAAGAGATCAAATTGTCCGGCACTTTAAACAAAGTTTCAGCTAGAGATTTCTCATGCATCTCTTTGAAATGATGAGTAGCTTCTCGCTGCTTTAAAAAATAGCCTAATTGTTGATTCTTTTGTGTGTGACCCTAATGTCCACAGTCCTTGAGGACTTGGAGTGCTCATTGCTGACGTCTTCTGGTTAGCAGGGAGGAGAGAGCTGCATCTACTGCAGAATCCCCTGCTTTTACTTTCAAGGGAAGGTAGGAAAGGCAAGGGGAGCTGTGTGCATGAGCGAGACGTAATTACATTTATTTAGAAAGCTTTTGGGATATTTGGGGGGTGAGGAATAGGCTTAGAGTTTTAATGTGTGGATATACTGAGGGGAATTATGTTTGGAAAAGTCTTGGTGAGCAGGTTTTTTTGCCAGTGAGCTTGAGATATAGGGACATCCTGGCCTGCTGCACCGTGCAGTGATTTCTAAAGAAGCTACAATGGAGAAAGTTGGTCTGCTTTTAAAGTAATGTGAGAAAGCAAATAATCCATGAAGTCTTCCTTCTCTGGAAAGGACCTGCTGATTCCTTCTTAAAGAATTGTGGTGAGGTTCTATAGCACCTGGTGGACTGCTTGGCAGAGCAGTGCAGCAAGTGTGTTTAGTAGCAACAGCTACCAGCGGACTTCATTTAGGGGAGCATCTGCAGTCATCATCTGTTGTTTATCGACTTGGGCAAGTCCGCACGGGGATACCACACTAGTAATAACACGCTAAATACGATTTCTGGAAGGTATATTGGGAGATACCCAGGTGGTCCTTCACAGACAGCTTGGGCCCATTCAAATTTTCTAAAATTCAGGTTGATCCCAGTCTCGCTGGATGTGAGCGAGGGGCTGCAGAATTGCAGTGTCCGTGCATACCCCAGTGCTGCACATCGCAGGAACGCCTGCGAATAACTCTGTATCTGCCTGTTGCACTGGGCGTAGCCAGTAATCCTCCAGGAACCTTGGTGCATGCGGTGGATGGGTGCAAAGCCGCTGCTGCTGAGCCTTTTTTTTAGAACTGGACTGTCTCTGCTCCTGAGCACTAGGATATTTCTTGGTGAAGCCCCTTTGGCCTGGAAGGGTTTGCTTCCCAGCTGGAGAAGATCTCCTGGGCTAGTTTTGGTCCAGGAGTCAGCAGCATCGTGCTCTGCTTGCTCTGTGCTGTGCGCAAAGGACTTGGTGTAGTGAGTCAGCCCTGCTCTCTATGGCACAGGTAGCCTGCAAGTCAGGGAAATGGAAGTGTCACTGTGCCGTTGGTTAGCAGATCTGGGCTAACAGTTATCTGGGGAGAGAAGGAAAGAACAGGATGTCCTGCAAAAACTCTTGTGCAACTCCTCTTCATTGACCTGTACAACCCAAGTAATAGGGTTCCTTAGAACAAATTGTATTCGCGTATTACTGTGGGTTTATGTGAATCAGATTGCTGGATGGTTAAACATAGTTTAACCATGAGTTAAAATTGAAAAAGAAATAACCCATCAGCTAAAAGTTACAAAATCTGCAGTGCGTCACTCCTTAATTGTGAGAAAATGAATAAACATATGTGCAGTGTGCTTTCAATTAAAAGGTTTTCTATGTATTTATGTATTCAACTTCAGTTGTCTAACATCATAGATTTATTGTAGGCTGAAAGTCTGGCTGTCTGGCTTTTTCAGACTGATTCACCTTGCTGTTTGTTTGAGCTTATTTGATTACAAGAGTTACATTCCAAGTACATGTGGGTGAGGATGCACTGAAATGTAGGAGCTTCTTTTTGTGTTTTTATAAATTCCATAATAAACCAAAGGTGAATGGTTTCTAAGTAACAAAGGTAACAGTTAAATAAGAACATTTTCTTAACATAATAATAACAAAGACTATAACTGGATCATGTAGCATTTACAATATACAGTGTAGTATTTATTTGCAATGTAGCATTAAATTTTTCTTTTTCCCCTCTCTTCAAGTCATCATCACTTTGTATGGCTGGTGTTCATGCAGGCGTTGTGTCAAATACTCTGGGCGGCCAGATTAACGTTGTAATCAGCAAGGGCATTCCGTACTATGAAGGCTCCCTGGCTAACAATGTCACCTCAAAAGTGTAAGTGTACTTCCCATGTTCTCCTCCTCTTTAGCACCTTAGAGCTTGGTAGTGTCTCATTGTGGGATTAATTTCAGCTAGTGGAGCTACGCGTACCATGGACAGGTTCTCTTCTGTAAGGTTCTCACAATGCTCTTTTGTGACGATACTGACCAGGTATTTTTAACATCAAGACCATAAAGATTAATTTTTCAAATTCTGCAAAGAGGTTTTATCTTCCAGAATTCATGGCATGACCATAAATTCCTATGGTCTGTGAAAAATAATAATTTAATGGCAATTTTTTAGTTGCAGGGAAGAGAGTGTAACATGTCATTTTATCTCAGAAGTCTGAGGAATGGAAGCAATCAGAGGAGATTGGTTATTGTTAGCATGATTAGCTTAATTTAAAAGGGAAGCATTTTCATCAAGTCTTGTGTTTTGCTGGGGAGATGTTTGTTGGAAAGCCTTTAGCTCAGATCGTATCTCTGGACTAGATTTCAGCGTGTTGGTACTGAAAGCACTGCAAGTTGGTGACAGGAAGTGTTACTTTAATGGTGAAGTGTTTGTTTAGGCATATGTGCATAGGGTTGTGGCAAGCAGTCAGACCAGAAGAATAAATTTGAAGACTCTCAGTTTTCCTCATTGACTACCACAAAAAACATTATCTTTTGTTCTCTGCAGGGGCCCATTATCTACAAGTCTCTTCACATTTAAGACAAGTGGTAAGCATTATCACATGTATTACATGTTGATACTTTCATATGAATTTTGTGAATAGAAATAAGTGTGCAGGTATTTTATTTCTTGATTTTTGTTATAGTTATTGAGGCTGCTTATTTCTTTTTACTGCATTTCTTAGTAATGTATATTTTTGAATAGTTTTACCATCTCATTTTGATGAATAATCATCACTACGTTTGTAGATACAGTGATGTATAAAGTAAGCCTTGTTTATCTGCAGAAAGAGGTTCTTTCAGGTTGTGTTCCTCTATTATAGTCTGGTGACTTGACTTCCATACTTTAAACACACTGCTAAAGGTGAGTTGGGCACTTAAGAGTTGCTATTTATTTGTAACAACTGTGCATTCTAGGTTTTTTCCAGGTTTACTCCTTACAGGTTCCTTGTTGCCAATAAGAAAGCTTGCAGAAATCCCCAAATGATTGCTCAACTTTCTCCACCCCTTTTTTGCTTTTTTTTCTTTCCGTGTTCTTGCAACTGAATGCTATGTGATAAATTGCTTGTCACTCTTGCTCTGGAAAGGCATCTCTTGGGCCTTGATTTGTGCATAAGTTGTGTTTCTTGTTGGCTGCAATGTTTTGTTTTGTAAATATGTACGAGGTCGCTGATTGGTATAACAGGTGTTCTCCTGTCCTAAAGCTTTACTGCTTTGTATGTTTTTACTTTGTCAGTTACCTGTTTTTCAAATAAATCAGCTGCCATTTTCTAAATGGAAGCTAACTTTTCTCTAAGTCACTTTAAATACCATCTTTGAATGAATGTTGGAAGTGTTGTGAAGACAGCGGCCTTTCCTTAGTCTCTTTAACTGTTTTAATAACAATATAAAAAAACCCAACCCTAACAAAAGCATTGTGTCTGTTTTCCATAAGGATAAAGTTACAAGGAAAAAAAAAAAAGGGGGAATCATACATGTACTCCTCAAAAGTAAACAAATACTTTTCCTAATATATAAATAAAACTGATGCTGAATGGGGGATATAAAGGCAAGAATCTAATGAGCAAGAGTGTTAGGAGATGGAAATGTATAGAAACAAGCAAAAATTAGAAAATAAAATCCACATAATATTCAAATAATTTCTCTTCCAGACCTCTGCAAGAGCTGGAAGAAGGAATTGCATGTCTGGTGACCTTGTACATGGAGCATATTAAACACAGTGACCGAGACAGGGTTTTGGGGGGTTTTTTGTCTTTCAAAATATGATCTGATAGTGTATATGAAAGTAATGAAATGACCTGGAAGTATGAAGAGACAGGACAAAATTCTGATCTAAACTGCCTGGATTTCAGTGACACATTTGAGAAATTACTGAATAAGCTAGAGACAAGATGCAGGTCTAGATTAAAATGTAGGTGGTTGAGTGGCCTAGGAGTTAGCTGAAGGAAAAAGAGGACTCTCTAGTATGCTTAAATGAAGTTCATCAGACTCTGGTGAAGTTACTGGTGTGGTTCTTCCATAACAGTTGGTTCCATGACTTGGTACAAACTAGAGGAGTGTTATTAACGCTAGAGGTGTGGTCAGTGCAGGTGAAGACGAAAGTATTTGTACAGGAAGAGCTGGCTGACTTTGAGACTTGAATAATAGAAATTAACTGAAGAATCATAGAGCAAAAAGTGTAAGGTCAGGTACATAGAGGCTGAGGCATTTCTGCTTCAAACTGGCAGTATGTTAGGTGGAAATGACAGATAAGGGAAAGGATTCAGTTAGTGACGTGCTAACGTGGTCCTGTGCTGTGGCAGGTGAAGTACATCCAGTAGAGACAAGGAGCTATTAATGCCATCGCGCAGGACGTTGGGAAAGCCTTTTCTGGGGTACAGTCGCACATTGGCTCTGCCTCCTGCACCTCCCGTGCGGGACGAGCGCCTGACCTCGGTGCAGAGGAGGGGGCTGCAGGGGACCTGCAGGGAGAGGGAGCTGACAGCAGCAGGGAACCCAGGCTGGGTTGTTGAGGCTGGCTGGCTGAAGGCAGAGATTGCTCTCTGCTGCTCTGTCTGGGGAACACGTGTGAGGGGGAAAACTCTGGGCACTGCAGAACAAGATTTGAACAAAGAGCAAATGGATATCAACTAGCCACAAGGAAATTTAGCCAGGAGTTAAGGAGATGGTTTTTGCCCACCAGCAGTATGTGACATGGGAAGAAACTTTTAGTAAGAATGGTGACAAAAAAAATACAACTAATTTCAAGAATGCGTTTGAGCTCAAGGCCAGGATTATGACATAGCTTCCTACATTGTCTGGTGTATTGTTTGAATTAACATTGTGATACTGAGGTGGGTTTAAAAAACAAGAAGTTATATAGATGCAAAAAACGAATGAATGATCAAGTAGTCTGTTTTCCATTCCTGCATCAGCCATACATACTATTAAATCACGACAGCTCCCCCAAAGCTTCTCTTCTAGTGCTCTGTGTGAGTGGTGATTGGGGGAATATCCGCATTGCTCTAGAGTAGGCATAAATCGTGTAATACTCAAGACCATAAGTTTGGTTCCAGCATCACTTTTAGAAAGCAGAAGACGGTGTGTTCTGTTGGAAGTGTCATTATGGAATAAATTCAGATGGCAGTTACGATATTTGTGTGTAAAGTCTTAAACTCCAAGCAGGTAAAATGATTGTGTAACTTGAATTTTCATTTTGAATCCTCACCTTTTCTGTTGCTCAGGTTGCTATGGGACGCTGGGGATGGAATCTGGGGTAATCCCTGATTCCCACATCACGGCATCATCTATTCTTGAGTGGTCTGACCAAACAGGACAAGTGAACATTTGGAAACCTGAAAATGCCAGACTAAAAAGGGTTGGTCCTCCTTGGGCTGCATTTGTCAGTGATGAGTATCAGTGGTTGCAGATTGACTTGAATAAAGAAAAGAGAATAACAGGTAAGTGAATCTGATGTGGCTTTTAAGCAACAGTCAAAAAGTTTTGTCACTGATGTCTTTTTTTCCAGTGCTTGGTCTTAGATAAAGTCCAGGTGACATTTAATTGCTATTACAGTAAAGTTGGTTCCACGTCCTAGTGAGTGTACCGAGGAGCTTGGAGCTGGAGTTGAACAGACTGAGTTCTGTGGTAGAAAACACATCCTCCATCAAAATTTGTTGGAGTATTTCCTGTGATTTTATTGGATCCTTGATGCTTCCCTTGATTGTCTCCTTGGAGGTGCAAATCCATACCCAGTCAGCTCAGCCCACTGGTATCCCTGCGGGTGTACTGACTGACATTTCTAGGTTTTCCCTGCTGCCGGTCGAGGCCGTGGTGAGTCCAACAGTGGAGACAGGAGCAGTTGCAGTGCAACATGAGATGAGAAGCAGACAGGGTAAACCGGCTGGCAGGCTCCCCTTCACCTCCTTGCCTGAAGTGGAACCTGGGCTGGGAGCTGGGGATGGTGGGCCCCTCAGCAGTCTGCTGCGCTTCCCCTCAGCAAATGGACCAGGCAGCGCCGGCCGATGCAGGCAGGGTCTGGGTCAGGCTCTGCTCGCTCACAGAGATTGCGATGGACCATCCGTCACGGTTTTAGTAGCTGTGTTTATTTGCAGAGGTGGCTGGAGGTGCTGTTCTACAATCCACACTGGATGGTTTGGGGAGTTGAGCGAACTCCCTCACGGTTACCTGTTCCTGTTGATCGCGATGTCGCCCGTGCTGAGTAGCGAAGCACTGAGGCACTTGCATTTTGGGTTTAACCTCAGGGCTAACCTTAAGTAGTGACCGTGCAGCTGTTGTATCTTCTGTGCTGGCGTTAATGTTTTCTATTTTGATTTAATTGTTCAGAGGTGATTTGCTGCTGCTAATGGGACTGAAATATAAAATAAAGTGGCTTTAGGCAGAGTGCTTCATAGAATCCCAGGCTTTAAGACTGTTGTGAAACATCCTTCTTGGTAGTTTGGGTTTGTCTCTTTCTCAAATGGATGAGTTGGTCTCTGTAAACTCAGCTGCACACCCTGCTATCAGCAGCTTGGCTTCCTGTCATTAAGCAACTCGGGTTTACCAGCAACCTTTGTTATTATGTCCCTGGGGACTATTTGGATTTTACATTACTCCTCTAATTCCTGTGCTAATAAGCTTTTACAAAACAGCTTTCCTATGTGAGTTGTTCTGTGGCGCTGAAGTCAGCTTTAGGAAGCTACAGTTCTTTCAATGGTGCTTTTAGGTTGGCAGTATAAAAGCAGGGAAGAGTGGTGCTGTCTTGGCAATTTGAGACAGGAGTGGGCTGTGGTCAAATGAACAGGCTGTTTCCATCAAGAAACGGGGGAAAAGTGCTTAGCAAGGTTGTATCGCAGGAATTAAAATATAAAAGTAAGTAAAACGATTATTAAGTTTCAGTCACTGTAGAAGTTTCGGACCCTGGCTCCTTGGATAAACTTTTTGAAATGTAACTGGACCAGTGGAGATTCCAACTACGTAACTCTGGGCTGAAAAGCTGATCTATTAATTTTAACAAACTGGTACCGGTTTTTTTGTGTAACTGGGCACCTTTGTTTTCACAGGTATTGTAACTACTGGATCAACCTTAGCGGAGTACTACTATTACGTCTCAGCCTACAGAATTTTATACAGTGATGATGCACAGAAATGGACAGCATACAGAGAAGCTGGCATGGATAAAGATAAGGTAAAAATACCACACGCTTTCTAGGTATGTTCTGTGGACATTCCACAGTCATAAATACGACTTCTTTTGGTACGGTGAGGAAACATTAGGTAACTTTCCTGTCCAGTGTAGTTTTGAATCATAAGCAGCATCTATGCAGAAGAAAATATGAAAATATGCAAATATGTAAGAATTGGAATAGTTCTGAAATTCAGAGATTATTTTTATTACTATTTGGAGGTGGGAATATTCTATACAAGGAGCTTCTGCGACCCTTTAAGAATATTCAGATTTCTTTCAAAATAGATTGTATGTTTCAAAATGAAGGTTTACTTTCTTATCCTCTTGTGGTTACAGAATGTTAGGGGTTATATAATTTCCCCTCTTTTACAATGTTTCTGTCCATCCTACTTTTTGACAAAATATTGGTAAGTTTCTTTCTTGTGTAATAGAACAGCCCTTGCAGAGGGGAGTTTTCTTAAAAAATGAAATGGTATGTTCAGATTGCAACTGCTTTGCCACACAGAAAAATTACTTATTGTTAGGGGCAAAATAATCTTGTTTTCCCCGTGTTTACAGTTTTGCAGTATTTAATAGAAAGTAAAAATGAGAAGATTAATGTCCTACATGGTCTTCCCAGAGGTTCAGATCAGATTTTCTAAAACAAATGAGAGGATTCTTGGTAACCTGACTGGAACTAGAAGTTCCTTTTTGGAATTCTTGGATGTAATTTACCTTACTTCCATAGGCCTATGGTATTACATACATGTAATAGTAACTAGTAACCTAGTAACTTTTTAGAAACAGGTCTTGAGAATGGTAACTCTTTAGCTGTATTTGATTTTCTTTTGTTTACTGTGGGTTAAGAATGTTTCAAGGTAGGATGCAGCATCCTGTTGATGAAGTGAAAGGTTGAAGTGTCTTGTTTGTTAAATTAAGAGGTTTCTAAACACTGAACATAATCACAATAGGAAAATTTCCTGAAAGGAGGAGACTTTACTGTCGGGCCTGGTCCATCTCCTTGAACCTACACACAAACTAACAAGAGTGTTTGTTAGTATGAAGTATTCGAGGGGGAAAAAAAAAAATCCGGCATCCTTTACTGTTTTTGAGTGCCCTCTTCTGGTCATAAACTAAAATCTCAGCTAGCAAACCCCCTAGATTTAGGCTTCACATTTTGATTATTTTCTTCGAAAACCTTTGCAGCTGTTGCCGTTTAATTTGGGCATATTGTTTTTCTCACAAGTTCATGAACTGAAATTGCGGAGCTTGGAATTGCAGGCAGCAGATTTTTTTTGCACTCTGTATCATGAAGTACAATGAATGAAGAGCCATACATAGCCAGGAAGCGTCAGCTGTAGTTAAATGACAGAAGAAGAGTTCAGTATGGTTGATCTCTTAGGCTTCAAAATAGCAGATTTTTCCTCTGTCTGACATCATCTCACTTGATGCAGCTTGCTTCTGGATGCGTACGCGTGCAGGCTTCTCCCTTTGAGCCTCACATAATTGCGCACCAGACCAACCAGGAGGTGCTGTTCCCCATTTTTTTGAAAGATGTTTGTCGTTCAGGAGGCTTTTCCAAAGCTTTCCTGTGGTCGTCTTTGCAAGGAGCTTCTAGAGATCTGTCAGGACTCAAAATCTTTTCTTAAAATTTTCATACATGAAAAAAAGACTAAAATGCTTGAATTGGGGGGGGGGG